CACACACACACACACACACACGCTCATCACACGCACACACACACACACACACACACACACACACACACACACACACACACACACACACACACACACACACACACACACACACACACACACACACACACACACACACACACACACACACCACACACGGGGTGCAGCGATGTGTTTCCTTTCCTGTGTTAGTGCCAGTGCGCGCCAGTCCCCCGGCCTCGTGTCCGAGCGAGAGACCGAGACCCCCGAGAGAGACAGCGGCTCAAATTCTTTTGCTTACACCCGTGTCGTAGCTTGCTCGCCTGTTCACAGACAGGTTGATAAGAAACAAGAAGCTCACATCGCACAGACAGTGAGGGTGTGAGAGGCGGACCTAAGGAAGGTCCTACACCTCTTTACGACCCCTGACCGAGCTCCCGCTCGACAGAGTTTGGTACGATTTCTAGCAATGCTCTCCTTCACATAAACGCACCGCGTGCAAGCCCCACCCGGCAGGCGGATGGGCGTGGGGGCGCGTCGCCCTGCTTGCTCTAGGTGAAACGACGCTAAAGGACGAAGAAGACCCGAATCCGCACGGCGGGCGGAGAACACAGGCACTAGACCAGGGAGGACTGGGAGAGTGTGAATGGAGGGACACGTGTGTTCAGACGCGCACAACCCCGGGCCCGAAATCGCACAGAGACAGTCACGCAACACGAAGGCGACCAAAAACCCGTTCACACTTACAAGGCACGCGTGTGGTCAGGCTCGTCGCCTCGGAGGCTGCAGAAAGAAAGAAAACAGACAAAAAACGAGGGATGGGAGGAGGACAAGGTCCCCACCTGCACGAGCAGGATCTTGGAAGGACGATCAGGGACACAGGGGAACGGGAGCGGGGAGCGCATCGCGACACGGAGGGGGGCTGGGCAGGGTTCACCCACCCACACCACAGGGTCCCAGGGATTCCTCTCTCGTATTCTATAGGACGGGTTGCACCCGGCGGCACGGGGGCAGGCGCGGGCCTCCTACTGGGTGCGCTC